ACTTTTGAGTTTTCCCACCAACAAACTTCTTTCATATGGCATACTTTGAGCTTCAATTTCTTATTCACCCGAGCATCATTTATAACAAGTAAGTATATGATTTCGATGTACTCATGGAGGAGAATACAAATCAATTTTCATCTTCCAAAATAGCCAAACGGATCCCGCTCAAAATTCGTGTCAAAGTCACCCATTAACTCAATTTTTTCCAACACAATCATCACTTGGATTAAGAATCAAAATTATTACCTCACGCCAGCAACATGATCTTTGAACTTGATTGAATATTCACGCTCTGGTTTGTTTTTCAGATACGGTTGAACAAAAACAATTTGCTTTGAATATAATCAATGAAGCATAGAGTCCGTTCGACCTTGCATGATTCTGATTGTCCTTTGCACAGCAAGTCTCGGACGGGTGTGAGAGTTTTTCAAAGCAATTAATTCGTCACTTGATTTCTTCCTTTACTTATGTAAAGTAATGCACAAGTTTCGAATCAAAACTTACCTAAAAATCATCAAGAAAACACGGTAAGTATACCATAATATCTCACGGGATCTATTTGATATAGTCATTAATAAGCTTAAGGAAAGTTTAATATTAAACCAATCTTTCCTTAAATTAAATTAATTAACCTATCAAATAATATCTACGGTGGTAAGATAATAATTTTGTATAAGATATAGTATGACAACAGAAGATCGCGTCCAGTTGAGTGGTAAAACCCTAAAATTCGCAGCCTCAAAATTCAATTGAGATAACTTGCCATCTAGTCAGTTAGGAGTGACTGTCCGTTTGGACTACATCCTGTTTTTCATGTTTTTGGTAATTGTTCTTGATATTTAAAAATCAATCTATATTAAATAAGATGTATAAAATGGATTTTTCCAACAAAGAGTTATGCATGAAGGAGCTGCACAAATACATTGAAGTTTAAAAGCCTTCAGTTTAAGGGAGGGATGTTATAAATTTTACTATTTATAAGTTAAAAGAGTTGGTTTTGGTTTATTGTTGCATGTGAATAAAGGTTTACCCAGTCTATAGGGTGTTTGCTGATTTCTAGTCTTTAGGATAGTCCTACTTTGTAGTGATAATGACAGATTTTTATGTAATTTTTGTTCATTTCCATGGTTATAATAGCCCATTCTTCAATTCATTTTATGCATCAGATTTCCATCTTTTGTAGTTGGTTCTTTCTTTCTCTGTTAATTACACAAAGTTAAAAGCGACATCTTTTCTTTTATTCATTTAAGTGCCTATTCTTATTGCAGTTGCTTTTCTTATCCAATTGAGAGTGCATATTTCTGTACATTTTCTATCAGGAAGCACAATCTTTTTCGCTTCGAACCACATTGGCTCAAAGAGGCAAGCTGTTTCGACACAATCAAAGAAAGCTAGAATGAAAGTAATAACTCGCCACTTTGTGATAAACTTAAAAAGCTGTGCAGCTAAATTGAGGTCTTTGCAAGGAGACAAGGGTTGGTCAGTTTTAAAACAAGTTAGAAAAAACCGTGAAGCAATGAATGAATTAATAAGTTGGCCTCTACTCTCTACCAGGAATGCAAAACAATTGGAAATGCTGGAAAGACATCTTACTGGTTTGTACGAGCAAGAAGAACAGTATTGGTTCAGCTTGGCTGCGTCTGGGAGATCGAAATACCTCATGCCTCATTCTTTCATAATAAAGCAGCTGGAAAGAGTTCAAAAATTGAAATCACTGGCCTTCACATTAACGGAGTTTATCATGATGATCCTAAGGGAGTTGGATGTGTGGTCACTAAGTACTTTGATGTACTCTCTTCTATTCAACCAAGCGATGGGCAAATGAGGGCGATTATGACTGACTCATGTCCGAGGATTATGGGCGATAAGTACAGGTTGTTGATTGAGCCATTTAGAGAGGATGAGATACATGTAGCTCTTTTCAGTGTGGGATCTTTTAAAACAGCAGGCCACGATGGGTTTCATGCAGTTTTCTATCAGAAAAATTCAATTGGTGGAGGTGACTAAAATTCGCTCAAGTGTGCTAAATGAGCAACAACTGCTGAATACGGTCAATTATACGCGTGTCGTCCTTATTCCTAAACTTGCTTGCCCATGAAGTATTACATGATCTCGACCGATCAGTTTGTGTAATGTCAATTACAAGATTGTTACAAAGACTATCGTAATTAAACAGAATGAAATTTGTCGTCTCAGATATTATATCCCCTTCACAAAGTGCCTTTGTACCCGAACACATGATAACGGATAACGTAATTACGGCTTTTGAGCTTATGCACTCAATGAAATGTAGAACCAAAGGTAAGCTGGGATATCTGGCGATGAAGCTGCACGTGAGTAAAGAATATGACCGAGTTGAACTTGCTCGGTTATTATAAGTGAGGAGTACAATGGGTTTTCTGGATAAGTGTTCACGAAAATATGTTCGCTTTGTAAATCACTGCGAGTGTACGGTTCGTTAACAAGTAATAAAGTGAAAATTGTAAAATTTCGAGTATCGTCCCACGATGATTGATTTAATTTTATTTCTATTACCGAAACCTTAACCGAATCTATTTAACTCAAGATAGTTGAAGAATTGAATTTTATAACTAAACTA